AACTTGTTTCGTTTCGCCGTATGTCCTTGTTTCTTCGTCCAACCCCCTTGTTTCTCGTTGGTACAGGGAATTTCTTCGTCAATCCTGGCATGGATCAAGGCAACCTACCCCACAAGAAAATGATACCCTTCTTTCATAGGGTGTGGGACCAGAGAGCACCGATTTCATTTGTTGGTTCAAACAGAAAGCCCAAACTAATGCGCCTATAAGTGACGAGCTGAGATAGGTTGCAAACGGCTATGCCATTAGGGTCAAGTCATTTACCGATTATGATGTGAATGGATATTGTTTTCACACAGCAAGCTATGAGCAGAGTCGGCCCAATCGAAAAACCACAAACAACGGAGTTGTTACACCCAGCACTGATGGACTCGACTATTATGGAAGAATTAAAGAAATCTATGAACTATCATTCTATGGTTCCAAACCTCTTACTCCTATCATATTCAAATGCCACTGGTTTCATCCTAGAGTAATGAGACGGACCCCTAAGCTTGGGCTAGTCGAGATTCAATAGGATTCCATCTATCCAAGAAAAGATGTCTACATTGTGGCTCAACAGGCCATCTAGGTTTATTATACGTCATACGCGTGCAAAGATGCTGAGCATCTTAAGGGTTGGTCTATTGTGCACATGGTATCGCCACACGGTAAACTACCTGTCCCAAACGATGAAGATTACAACTTCAACCCAAACACATATGATGGAGAGTTCTATCAAGAAGAGGGGCTACAAGGGAGGTTTGACATAGACTTAATCAAAGAGATAGGAATGGAAGTAGACAATGAAAGGGATGATGACAAGGACGCTGGAGACGAGGTGCGAAATCTGAAGGACATACAAATGCTTGAGCGATTACGTTTAGGCAATGACAATGAACACAACATTCCTCCTTCAGATAGTGTTGATGAGTTGGACAATGTTGATAGTGATGACGAGACCTATGATCCAACTAATCTCAATCATGAAGATTATTTCTAATACATGTAATACTATGTTTTTTGTAATTATGTTTTGTTCATTTTTGCACCTATTTCTAATTACGTCTTGTTTTTCTTTTTTATTGCACGTGATTGAATAAAGATGGCGGGCGACCGTCATAGGTTCGTGAACTCGATTTACCAAAGACCACGCCAGCTACAGGAGGAGACGGAGGGGGCGGCAGAGGGATCGGACAAGAGGAGGAGGAGGACTGCCAGCCGTAGGAGGGGGCCGTCTCCTCCCACGCCGCACGAGGAGGAGGTGGCGCCCGTGGACGAGTCGGACGAGGAGCTGGTTCGGCAGACGGACGAGGAGGAGGGGCCGCACGAGGACGACGAGTGCGAGGCGGCAGGCACGGGTTCCGTTTCCTCCGACTCCACTTCGAGTGTCTACTTGCGAGGTCCTACGAGCCTCCCACAGGTTCCGCTTCCTCAACAACGCCCAGTGATTCGCCCCGAAGGACAAAAGTAAGTAACTTTATATGTTATCACCACTACTTCATATGATATGATGAAAAAAACTAATATTTTTTCTTAATCACTTATGTAGGAACTGGGTGGTTGTGTCGTGTGGTAGCGCACGGCTAGTCAACGACATCCTGGGTCTTCTGTGCAGGCAACACTTCCCTGGTATTGTCACGTACGCATCAAAGACGGAGCCGGCCTACTCGTTTGACCACTACGCCGTCGCCCTCGATGCGGAGTACCCCAACAAGGCGGCGTGGGTGAAGGCAGAGTTTTGGGTAAGTCTCACTCGCACAACATTGCTCAATACGTCGCATTCATTGGACTTTTCTTGAAATAATGAATGGATACATCGCTTTTGTATGCATACTTATTATAGATGCGAGGAGGGATTTGAGGCTAGGGCGGAGCAGGTGACTACCAAAGCCTATTAAAAACTCGTCACCGACATGCATCACGAGGCGCGCATCCAGGCCATCATAACCTACTATGGGTCGAAGCTTGGAGAGAGGAAAACCAAGAAAGACGCAAGAGAGATGCAGCTAACCCAGGAGTAGTACCTTGAGGTAAATGAAGAACATCAATATTGATTCGTTTTGAGATTACGTTGGTTTAATTTGATCTTCTTATATGTCCAATACTTGATGACGTGTAGATGATTCCCTGGTGGTGCCAAGCATATCCTGAGTGCTGGGCGATGATGGTGGAGAGGTGGTTCACGGAGGAGTACCTCAAGATGCACAGGGATGCCCGGGACCGTCGTTTGTAGATGCAAGGTCCAGCACACCATCAAAGGCAGCCGTAGCCTCGTCGGATACAAACAAGCATGGGTACGCGAATTCATTTATCTATTGTGACGCTCAGTTCTGCCTGATGTGTAATCATCGTGCTGTCTTTCTTGCAGTCGGCATCACATAGTGGCCAGGCTTGCTCGGACTTTCAGGCATGGTGTATGGCCCACAAGGGCAAGGCGACGTCCGACGTCTCCTTCAACCTGGAGGACCCGCTCGAGGCATACATGAACCCGAGATAGGAGCTTGCTTTAAGGCTAGGTTTGAGGCTCGACGCGGCGACTCGGTGAGATAGGAGCTTGCTCTGAGGCTCAGGATGGAGGCGGCACGGTGGGGGAAGTCGGTATTTAAGGCCGGGGAGACATGGGGCGCACGGCAAGGCAGAGTCGTGGCAGTAGCAGACACCGATCCGCGCGGCGAAGTCCGGCTCGGTGACATCATGGGGTGGAAGGAGGCGACTGATAGCTAGGGCTATGTCGTCAGTGTCACAGGGGAGAGAGAAGAGTGGCGCCCACGGCTTGGTTGGGCCGGCCCAAGAAGGAGGCGCAGGGGAGGGGAAGGGAAGCTGCGGTTTTGGCTAGGCCTGTGAGAAAATGGGGCGACCCAAGAGAAGGGAGAACGAGTGGGACAGCGAGGGAGTGGAGTAGGGCCTGCTGCTGGGCTGTGGAGAGGGGGAAACAGGGAGGGGAGAAAGCGTGAGTGGGCTGGCCTGTGGCCACGGGCCAGAAGAGAGAGGGAGAGTCTTTCATTTTTTTCTTTTATTCCAAAGCATTTTCCAAACTCATTTTTCAAAAACAATTCAAACCATTTTGAATTTTAGACAAAGCCACACATTCCAATAATTCCAATGCATGAGCATGTATGCACAAACAAGTTGCTAAACCTTATATTTGATTTTAATTTTAACAAAGTTTTTATTTTTCTAAATTTACATGCTCACAAAAATGCATAATTAAATCATTTTAGCCTATTTTAAAAACATACAAATTTTAGGGTGTAACATCTATATTGAGCCATCACTACAAATAGATGCTAAATAGTAAAAATTAAGTACTAAAATTCAAATTTGATGACTTTGGATGGAGAAATGACCCAAATAAAAGTTGTAGATCTCGAAAAGTTATACAACTTTGCTGTTTACAACTTTTCTATTTGAAATCATTTACTACTTCAAAATGGTATTTAAAATTTAATTTTTAAATTATTGAGGAACTCTGATTCCTCATTTTAACCTCTGACTAAAACTTGTAACTAATCTTTCTCCCTTATACTAACTTCAAATTTGATGATTTTTTCCTAAAATTTTCTCAAATCATGCTCTATCAATTTATTGTGTTCTTGCAGCTATTATTTGATCATTTTTTCACGTGACTGTGATTTATCAATTTGAAATTTGAATTTCAAAAAATGGTAATTTCAAACGTCATTTTAAAACGTTAAATGATTTTAGCTTAAAAATTCAGGAACATAAAAGTTGTAGAACTCATCAAGATCTACAACTTTTATTTTGGTCATTTGTTTATCCGACAAAGTGGTAATAATATTGTTCACAAATTTTATATATTCCTCTTATAGTTTATGAATGTGTTACTATCACTTTATCGGATAAACAAATGACCAAAATAAAAATTATAGATCTCGAAAAGTTATAGAACTTTGTAATTGACAACTTTCTCATTTGAAATCACTTTGTCAAGAAAAACTATGTTTGAATTTTTTAAATTTGAAATTTGGATTTTTCAAATGACCTCGGATGGAGAAACAACCGAAATAAAAGTTGTAGATCCCAAAAAGTTATACGACTTTGTAATTGATAACTTTCTGATTTGAAATCATCTTGTCAAGGAAAACTACGTTTGAATTTCTAAATAAATTGAAATTTGAATTTTTTAAACGATCTAGGATGGATAAACAACAAAAATAAAAGTTGTAGATCTTGAAAAGTTATGCAACTTTGTAGTTGATAACTTTTTGATTTGAAATCATCTTGTCAAGTAAAACTACGTTTGAATTTCTCAAATTTAAAATTCAAATTTTGTTAACGACCTCGGATGGAGAAACTATGAAAATAAAAGTTGTATATCTCAAAAAGTTATACAACTTTGTGGTTGATAACTTGTTCATTTGAATTCGTTTAGGGCCTCAAACAATCAATTTAAACTCGGTTTAGAATAATATATGAGGAAAGAAAATAAAGAGTAGACACAAGTGAGTGTGAGGTGTAGTAGTAGAGCATAGTATGCGTGAGGGGGGCTGCGGGTTTGAATCCTGCCAGCCGCACGATTTTCGTGCGAAAAATGATGTGACTTTTGGAAAATGAGCTACCCAACCGCCCATGTAAATCGTATGCACACAGCTCGCAAAAATAAATAGTTTTTTTGCCAAAATTCAGATCTATATTGAAATGCAAAATGATAAATACCTTTTCCATATTCTTTGGAAAACAAATAAAACTGACGGTAGCAGGAGCATGGAGGTGTGGGATGGATGATAAATTTATGTATGGTTCAGTTTTGAAAGATGAAGTTCAGAGTTTCAACACCTCTTTGTTTGAGCGCCAAAGTCAAGTTCAACTAGAACACTTAATTCTGTGTCCAGAAATTTCAGGAAGAGTAAATTATTATTCGACTGCATACATGGCCGCAAGGTGCCGTGGGAAAAAAACAAAAAACACAATACACGCAGATTTTATTCATCAAGATAGAGAGAAGAAGAGATGATGGATGCCCATGTAAACACGACACGACAGCATCTGCGTGTCCGTTACACTGCCTTGGCTCCGTTGCTGATGAGCTTCTCGATGGCCTGCAGCGCCTGGATGGCTGCCTGGATGTAGAAGGTGATGGGCCCGGCTAACGGCGCGAGCGGGTTCGCGGCGACCTCCTCTTTCTCGTCCGCATCCGCCGACGGCAGCGGCGCCGCCGGGTCCTTGTCGAACTTCTTGGCCTGCTCCAGATACTTGTCCATACGCGGCGTCGCGAACAGCCGGTTTCTCTCGATGTCGCCCCTCGCCGCGAACCGCTGCCGGTCGTGCGACGTCTCCGACGACATGGCGTACGGCCGGCCCTGCTGCTCGTACACCTCCTGCGACTTCATCAGCTTGAGCAGCTCCTTCAGCTCCGTGTTGAGGGCGCTCAGCAGCGGGTCGTCGTACGGCTCCGCCACCGGCACGTCCCCCAGCGCGTTCTGGGCCTCCACCAGCTTATCCAGCGCGTCGTCCAGCTTCTTGCCGTCCGCCATCGTCCTCGCCTGCCTGATCATCGTGGCCGTCTTCAACCGGGCCTCCTCCTTCATCACGTCCACCGGCGGGTCATCCTCCGGGAAGGCACTGCCGCTGCGCCGCACCGTGACCGTCGCGGGCGGCGCGTCGAACAGCTTCCAGGCCGTCTTGTACGAGTAGGTCGCCTCCAGGATGTCCGCGCCGCGGTCGGTGTCGATGGCCGGGAGGAGGAGGTCCACGATCACCTTCCGCACCTCCTTGCTGTAGAGGTCGCCGAAGGCGACGGTCACCGAGCCGGCGTTGGCGTCCTGCGTCTGCGGGTAGTTTCCGGCGGCCACCTTCTGTATGGTGGACTCGTCCTCGACGCGCGCCACCGTGACGGTGAGGTCCTGCACCACCACGGTGAGCAGGCCGGCGAGGCACTGGGAGAAGGCCATGCTCAGTGTGTCCACGTCGTTGACGACGGAGAAGGTCCCTCCCATGCTGTTCCTGGCCACGGCGTTCAGCACCGTGGGGTCGTAGTCCGCACCGAACCCGAACGTGTACACCGGCACATTGCCGATCTTGACGTCGGCGGCGTTCCCGCCCCGGTTCTGCTGCCCGTCGGACATGAGGATGACGCCGACGACGCGGCCGGAGCTGAGCCTGCGGTCGGCGAGGACCTTGAGCCCGGTCTGAAGGCCGTCGCTGATGTTGGTGTTGCCGCCGGGCTGGAGGGCGTCGATGAGCCCCAGCAGCTCCGGCTGGGTGGCGTCGGTAACCTGGCGTAGCGGGCAGATCCTGGTGGCGGTGTCCACGAAGGTGACGATGGAGAGGCGGTCGATGGAGCTGAGCTTCTTCACCACGAACTTCATGGCGGTCTTCATCTTGTCGATCTTCTCGCCCTGCATGCTGCCGCTCACGTCCAGCACCGCCACCAGGTCCAGCCCCGACCGGTCGCTGGTGGAGTCGCCGCCGGTCAGCTCCAGCAGCACCTTCTGGGTGTTCTCCTCCAGTGGAGCCATGTTGTTGTTCTTGCTCACCAGCTGCACCCTCCCGGGCACGATCGGCGTCGGCCTCGGCCCTGCATCGTCGCATTATTCTCATCTCCATTACAGTTCACTAATTAAGCAAAATGATTTGGTTTTATTCGACTTCACGAATTAACCTGAGTTTGGAGGAGGGATAATTAGCTCGTCATCGTTGAAGGACATGGCGATCGAGATTAAACAGATTAGTGCTGCAAATATTTGCTGTAGAAATGGGCTGCCTCGCAACTTCTCGATCCTATGATAATACAAGCTCCTCCTCAGTCAGTTATATAGAGAGAGAAAGGGTGGCGAAGTCATTTCTCGCTCTAGGTTGTACAGGATAGGATAATTGGATGTTCTCCTCCCACACGCAATGATTTCTATTTTTATTTTCCATTCTGATGACATGAAGTGGTATCCGTTTGAGCATCCATGTTTTAAATAAATTTGAACTATATAAGTTTTGTGATAATTTAATCACGATCTCAATTTACTACTACACATGGCCATGCATATATCAATATTTTCTTAAACGGTAAACGGTCTTTACACGGTCGTCCTTCGTTCAGCGTTTAGGCTGTGTCGACACAAAATTTTCGTCTCTGTGCAGAGGTCACACGCAGCAAGCCGGAAGGGTCCGCTCGATGGAGCAGATCCGCCTAGCTTCAGTGCAAGGGTGGTCGATCCTGCGCAAAACTCCCGAGACGTGCCAGTCAATTTAACCCTGCAATTGACAAGGAGAGAAAGCTCATCAGTAATTAAGGGCGGAACGTGCCGATTTTGCCAGACAGTCCCAAATGTGTGGCTCTGAGAGCAGATATGAGAGGAGATCGACTAAATAGTCGATCCCAGCATATTCGCAAGAATGAATCGGTTAAAGCTCATGGTGTTGTATAAGAAGAATCGGTTGTCATTCAGGATAAATGTTATTTAATCAAATATTAATCAATAACAATAAGATATCAACAGTGATCGGTGTGTACTGAGCCAATGATTATTAGTAACCGAACTCCTCTTTATATAAAGAAACAATTCAACATTATTTAACCATTTAATAAAGATAAATCTAATGAATATGTTAGATCTCATCTATCGCCATGACCAGTGGGACATGAGGCAGAATCATGCAGGTCGTAGAAACAACAATAGACTCGACGACCCTAACTCATTACTAATATCAGTGGGGCATGAGGCAGAATCATGCAGGCCGTAATACAATAACAAGATCATGGGGCTAACATATCTTTCAACTTATCTCTATTTCAATGATCTCGTAATGTGAACAGTTCATAAAAGCATTCGATATCGGCTAAACAACCGATTCAGGCATAGCGCATAGTTAAGGTCATGCCTCCTTAGGAATGGGTCTACCAACCAACGATCCCCACTCCACGGTGCCAACAGTGGGGTGAGAGGCAGAATCCCACAGGCCGTAATGACGGGCCATGGAACGGTTTTCATTAACTAATAGATCTACTCAAGATCGAACATGCCTTAACCGCATGCTATGCACGATTAAGATTGACGCAAAACAGCCGATAAAAACATAACTCATCATTTAAGATGTAGATTAGATCAGTTTTAGATTAGCAAACAATGAGTTAAACAAGATATAAGGTCGATTCAGATCAATCTCAATCGGGCAGAGTGATATTGCAGTAATTAGATAAACAATGAAAGCAATAAGCAATCTCGGTAACTTAATAAATCTACCAAAGACTGCCATTCTAAGGTAGAGCCGATAACTTGACCTTAATCTAATTCAAGCAGTGGGGTGTGAGGCAGAATCACATAGGCCATACTTGAATTAGGCAAGAGTCAATAACTAGCCTATACTTGAGTCGCAGTGGGGGTCGACCGGATCGATGCAGCCATACGAACAGAGGTATAAACCATGACAGTACTTATAGACAAGCAGTGGAGGTCGATCGGATCGATGCAGCCGTACTTGCTAAAGAACTCGCCGAGATCTACTCTACTCCTACTCCTAAGGGGTGGCCGGAGCCAAAAAAAAAGTAATTGACTTGTATTTGATTGGTTGATGTCCTTTACAATAGCCGGGGTTTGGTATTTATACCCGAAGCCTAAAACGAACCCTACTCGAGTATGACTTAATACAATCTTTGGTATGAAGGAAATATTCCTATCTTAAGATAAGTTAGACTCTAATCTTTCCCCTTTTGTAGAGTCTGACATGTATCTTCTCGATGCCAATCATATCCTGTCATCGTTATCTATTGACGTCATTCGGAAAGAATCGATCCAGTGTCACATTCGATCCAGCAGATATCAATCTTTACTCCATCGACTCCTTGATTGGCATAATTCTGGAAGCCTACGAGTTTCCGCGTTCTTCTCCCAAATTTTGGTGTAAACACATGCCCCCCAATTTTGGGATAAAATAGTTTTATCCCGAAATTCCAGTTCACTGGTTTACCATGCCGCAACTGCACTATCCGAGATATACGCGCGACTCCTGACTCCCCGATCTGAGTTCTATATAACATCCCAACAGTATCTTTTGCAATTCACACGGCCTGTTTGCTTTCTCCTTCTTTCTTAAGCCAACTTCCAACAGCCAACGCCGTCATCGCCGAGGCCCCAAACCCTAGCAGATCATCTGTTCCAACGAGCCGTCGCCCAAGCGATCCTTGCTAGATCCAAACCAATTTTTGACCGCGATGGCGACCGTCGACCACGTCCCTGAGGTATGTCTTCCAAGTTTCCACTTTCCAAGTATCGGCTGTTATCCCATATCTTCCCTCTTCTTGAATTTATTTTAATCGATTTCTAGGAAATGAGGAATGAGATCTTGATTTCATCAGCTGTTGTCCCTAATGCTTATTTTCTTGGGCCTGTGGGTGATTCTGACCCATCCGATTTTATCCGCCAAGAAACCAATCAGATCCCTTTTAAACAGTCTACAGTGGATTCATCCTCCTAGAGCAAAACTTCCTTCAGAAATTGGCCCAACGCGCTTAAGGGATTGAGAGATTGGTTCAGTAGGGTATCTGCAAAAAAGGGTGGAGATCGGGAGCTTTATGATCTGAACCAATGCTTGACACTTTCGCTGTCTGAAATGGAGAGGAATGATTCACTCTTGATCTCTGCCTCTTATTTCTAGTCTAATGCCCTGAATGCTTTTATTTTTTGTCACGACCCAATGACCATCACTCCGGCCGACGTATACATGTTGACCGGCCTTAGGGTCACCGGATTAGTGCAACCTTATGAGTATTTGAGTGCCGGTCCCAAGAGATTGGCCAAGATAGCAGACTGTACTGGATGGGCAAGTTACATTCTGAATCATATTGAAGATGGACCAGCCGTCAGTGAAAAGGAATATGTGGCCTTTCTGAATATGTGGTTGGAAAGATTTATTTTCTGCGGGTCATCTTGTAGTCCAACCTATAATCACAAACTCATGGCAGAGCACCTAGCATTAGGCAAAGATATCCCTCTTGGAAAATATCTGTTAGGAGCTGCTTATCATCTGATGTACCAGGTAGCTGCCCAATTGCTGAAGAATGAACCGATGCAGACTATTAGTGGTCCTTGGTGGCTGATACAATTTTGGCTCAATTTGTATATGCACAAAATTGTAAAGCCTGACCTCAAAGACCTGAGCTTTCCTTTCTCTAATTTTGGTGAGGAATATAAAGGCAAAGAAGGAAGGACCCAATGGTGTACGAACTATGGTGAGGCTGCATCAGCCATAATAATCGACTTTGGTGTGGGCCACCTCTTCAAAAGATTTTACAGAGGGTTTGATGTGGCTGTCCTGACTTGGCTACCTTATATTGAGGAGGATGAACTGACTTTTCCTTTCAGATTCTGATTTGAATCCGGCTGTTCGGACGAGACAGCGGCTGCGATCTTCAACTCTTTTATTAAACCCTATGTTCTTCCAGCCGAATTTCGCCATGGTCGTGGCAAAATGATTAAAGGCTCCTCCATCCCAGGCAATCCTCCAACCTATGAGTTTTACAATCCTTCGTTTGTGGCCCATCAGTTTGGTCTCAGTCAACTTCCTCCTTGTCTGTTTTTCAAGAACATCCTGAAGCCGAGGGAAGATATCAGTGATGTGCTAGAAGCTTCCAGAGTCTTCCAATTGGGATCAGACCTTCCATCCTTTTCTTTGCATGACTAGGTCAGGGCTAGCTTTTCTTCCAACCTCTTCGACTCCTGGTGGCAAGAATGGCATTCCCATCTTTTCTATGGGCCGGTCCACCCTCTGTGCATAGCTCCGGACGGGGAATTTGCTTCTGATAGTGAGGTAATCCCTTCATTCTCTTTCCGGAGAGATTACTTGGCGAATATTCTTTCCAACTGTTCTGACCGGCCCTTTCAGGACATTGAATTCGATCCTCCAAGCCAGCATAGGAGAGGGCGTCGTATACATTACCAGCCGTCATGCATAGTTTCAAGGATGGGATCAACCACACCTTCCTTGAAGAAGCTGATGAGAACCCATGCTGCTCCCATGATCGTGACATGCCAATCTCCAAAGCGCAAAGTGGTTCTTGGGGCAACTCAAAAAACCACTACTGGAAAAAGGCTCCGTAGGACAAGACCATCGGCTACTCAAGTGAACGCTTCACACTTTCCTCAAACTGATGTTCAATTTTTTTATCCCATTTTCTCATAGTTATCGAGCATCACGTCTCAGTCTGATTTGGGTGCGGGACAGTTATCTCAAGTACTTGATCCACCATCAACCGAACCTTCCTCTCAGGAGAAGCCGATTTCAGTGGAGGCGACCGATGCTTTCACAACGGTAGAAAATGTGAGTTTTATCCTTGATACTCGTTGGGGGTATTTTCCTTTTACTTCTTGATTCACTCGGCTTTCCAACCTTTATTTGATCATTTGTCATGCTAGACATCTTCTGAGGAAATACCCGTGCAAGAGCAGGGGCCTGGCAGTTCGCCTATTGACAATGATCCCATTGATGCTGGGAACAGCCCCATTGTTGATACTCATACTACCGATTCCCCAATTCAGCATACGCTTGATGGTGAGGAGATCGTATGCTTGGTCTATCCCTCTGCAATAAACATGAATAACAGTCCCTCTTTGCCATTGCAGATATCAGCGCTGGACGTCTAGAGCCGATTCAACCAGATGCTATTGGTGTATCACCAGCTGCTCCCCCTCTTCTGATAGAGGCTATTACAGAGAAG